GAGATGAAGGAGACAAGAATTAAGAAGCTGGGCACGATCTGACCTGATCATGGTCTTTAAAGTACTTCCCAGCTTGCTATGCCCAGGCAGGAGAGTAGGAAGAAGAGTTTACAAGGGATAAAGATACCACATGAAGCAGAAGAGGACAGAAACAGGAGAGTCGAGAAGCAGGATCTCTGACAGTGTGCCCTTGAGGGCAGAGACTGTATCTACCCATCAGTCTAAGGTTGCACACATGGCAATGGCAATTTGTCCAATGGGCCCCATTGAAGGTGGAGCACTGCTGCTGTACCTCCTGATCATCAGTGTTGCTTGAGCACCGAAGAAGAGTGGCCCAGCCTTTTGGATGCAGCTGTAAGGATGTGATGCAGTTTCCACGGTCTCTCTCACCAGGAACTTCAGGGGTTAAGACTTCAAGACTATTTCGTGGTGAAACTCCTGAGATACAAAATGAGGATGTGGGATTTGTATTATCAAAGGACTAAGGCAATTCATCAAAGTTTTGATTTCCAGCAGCCACCTCCCAGGCCCTCATTCCTCAGTCTGCCCCTTATGCTACCACATGTAAAAGAACATGGTAGTCACCAACATATGGTGTATGAATGAGTTTTGAGGGTGGAATGTGGGAAAAGGGTATGACTAGAACTAAAGAATCCAAGTTTCTACAGCAGGAACCACCAGTGATTTAAGATTAAGGCATAAAAGCTGACTAGGGGTCCTTTTGATTTGGATCTACATCTCAGAAAGCTCTTTATTTAAGTAAGAACCAAAGTTATGTGACACAGAAGGAAGCTAGAAAAGTAAAGATAGCCATTCTCATCTCACTGGACCTGGTGCTCTCTAGTCCAGAGAAGTAGATACTTGGAAGCCATGAGGATTGCCTTTAAGTAGATAAAAGCATCAGGACTTATGGCCCCCAAGACAGTACTATAAACAACAACAGACCTATAATTTTGGAGGTGAGGGAGGACACCTCACATAGAAGCATGTCAAAACAAGGGATGGGAGACACTGCCCATCATATATTTTCCTGGTGACTCTACCATGCCCCATCATTTCCTTCTACCTATTCCCCAATGAAAATGACTTCTGTAGTAAGCCACTGTTATTAATGGGAGTATGCCATATCCCTCAGGTGTGTGAAGAACCAATTTCATAGACATTGTGAGAAAACAGCTTAGAAATTTAATATCAAGAGAAATATTTCAATACTTCTCTGACTATGGAAGGAGTTACTTTGAAGGTAATGATCTCCTTTGTCAGATCCTTTGTGAACTGCTTCTCAAGCAGATGTGTTGTCTTCTTTTTAAAGATTCCCTTTAGATTAGTACATCATTATCAAAAACCTGTGAAGCTCTGAATAACATTGTTACAACTAAACTATGCCTAAATAATGATTTCAAACATGACTGAACTTTAATAATTTTAGAGAAAAACAAACCCCTATTTTAAGAATTAATTTTGAAAACCTATAACAAAAGCAGAAAAGAAATCCATTCTAAATAGGTAAGCAGCAATTTGCTAGCTGTGCTCCTTCGAGGTTCCTTAGGAGCTGGCAAAAGGTGGGAACCACGTGGGAGCTGAGGTGGAGATTAGGTGAGGAAGACTAGAAGGTCAAGGGCCTCTCTAATTTTACTTAAACCAGAGCTACTTTGATTTTATTTGTGCTACATCTTAAGAATCCACAGCAGATTTCATGTGAAAAATAGTGTTCTAATGCTGAAGTAAGTTTGAAAGCCTCTGCTCTATGCAGCTATTATATCTGCCAAAGGATGGTGTTAACATACTCGGACACTTGAAGATCCAGGATTTCCAACATTCAAAGCAACTTCACCTATAAGTCCCACCTTCTCCCACCTTTTCCCACCTTTTTCTTTTCTTTCCACCCTCTAATTTTGTTTTTCTTTCTTCTCAGCCTCCTCCTCTATTATCTCTTTCCTCATTCCCAACTATCTATGCTGTATAATATAA